ATTCAATTAAGATAAAAACATTTGTATGCTTGGGAAGTCAAAGTAATAGCTGTTGGTTGCTCTAATATAAATTAAACTTTTGAATTTTTTCCTACTTTTGTTGAAAAAACCATTGCAGAAGCAAAAGAAATTTCCTTAAATGCACTGAAGTAATTACATTCAAGTCCACAATAATTTGATGTACACCTCTGAGCATACCTAAACAAATCACTAAAGTATTTGCTGATGAGCAACATTTATTTCAAACAGGTTATTCAAAATACATAAAAAAAGTTAAGAATTTTACAAAGCAAACACATTACAAGCACGGACACACTTGCGGCACAAATAGGAGTACATGGTTCAGAGATAGTAGGTAAAAAAAGCACCTCTTTTGATGTTATAAAAAAACAATATCAAGTACAATTTGAAGCAATAAAAGAAACTTTTAGTTTATTAACACTTTTTGTGTTTGTTTTTCTTCCTTTCATATAAACACACATTTTGCATTAGGGCATAAGGCACAATTTTAGAAGCATTTGGCATAAAGTCAAGAGAAAACAATGAAGAAAATAAAGGATGATACAATTGAGGCTGAAGCGACATCTCTTTGGTACAGCTGCATGATTTAGAAGAGACACACTATCAATGATCATGATAATGTTAACTCAACATTATGTACATAAAAATGTAAAAAAAAAATAAACATGTTATAAATATGTCTAAAAACCACAGACACTATTTACATCTTCACACTGAAGGAAGGCAGAATTGCTTATTGTTTCACACCCAATGTATTTTTTTGGGATGTTGAGAAATCAATGTCATCAAAACATAAAAAAAAAAAGCATTGGAATCCACAAAACAAAATTCTGTGAAATGTTCTGGATGTAATGAGAAAACTTTAAAGCTTGGATTTCAGTTCATTGTCTGTAGGTGCAGTGGGCACAGTACGATGTTGTGTTCGTTCCCGCTGTGTTGCTGCTTTTAGTCCTTCTTCCTTAATACGAGATAAACGAGGCCACTGATGAGACTCAGAGGAAAAGCCACCCAGGCCAGCACGTAAGCGTAGCCATACTGTTTGTCACTCTCCGGTCTCATCACAGTGTAGATGATTGCAGCGCACATCACAAAAACACCTGAGAAAGATTTTTTTTTTTTTTTTTTTATGAAAGCAGGAAAGAGAGAAAAAGACAGATGAGGAGGGTTGCAGATGATGTCATAGCTAACACTGCTTCCCTTCAGGGTGTGGCTCCTGTCAGTGAGGAGGTCATACTCACTCGCAAAGAGTTGGAAGATGGAGGTGAAGTAGAAGCGTCCACCCTTTACCAGTCTGAACAGCTGATACAAGAAAGCTATCAGAGATGTAAAGCAGAAGATCACAGACAGGATCATGAGGGCTTGCACAGCTTGGATCCAATCTAAGAAAAAGAGACAAAGGATGAAATTAAATCTCCGCAATCTTTAACATAAATAGGAATTTTTTTTAGCTATGGTAGTGCGGAAAAACCTTCATTGCTGGCGTTCAAGCAGTGGTAGCCTTGATCATCTGACTTGCAGTTATACCAAAGATCAGTGTGTACTCCTGTTGCTACAGTCCATGTCTACCAGAACATAAAGCAAGAAAAGAAAAAAACAAACAGCAACAAATTAATATAAACAGTACTGTAACAACAACTCTTTCCCAAAACTACAAAAGCGATGAAACTGCTGCAGTTTTAAAGAACTTTCTAAATCTATGTGAAATGCTGCTGCTTACACTGGATGTTGTAGACACAATGAGAAGAATGAGAACGATCAGGTGAAAGACGAGCACTCCTAGCAGGATGAGCAGCATTTTGGGTGCAGATCTAGACAAAAGTATAAAAAAAAATATAAGTCAGAAAAACATTGATTGGTTCAGCACAATATTTGGACACCAGGGGGCGGCCTTTCTTCACTTCTGCACCAACCGCAATGTTTACTTCAATGTGAAAGTGTCCCATTACACTCAAGAGAGAAAAAAAGTAAAGGAGGGATATGTAATCTTAGAAAAGTATGCAAAGTAATGTTAAATAAAGTAAAAACTAACCCTAATAAACTACCAACTGTATTTAAAGGCACACAGACACTAATTATTTAAATATACAAACTTCATATTCATTCATAAACAGCATTTTTTATGGTTCTCTCTGTCAAAAAGCACTTTAAGTGAGAAAAAAATGGTTTTAAAGTTTTATAGACGTATAAAAACAACTACAGACTGATTTAGAAGCAGTTAAACTGAAGCCACATGCGAGGGAAAACATTCCAGTAAGAGCAGTCATGCCTTAACTACGTCCGCCTCAATTTAGTTTTCTCAGGAATGAAAACTTAAAATTGCGACAGAACCCCACAGCTTTGAAAACACAACAATTTTTCAATCATCAAAGTGAATCCAAAGCAAGATTTTGCATCCAGGAGAAAGAGAAAAACCTGTAGTCTAACCACAAAAAAATGATACTTTAAAGAGAAAGTTTGAAAATATACTGTAAGTCCAACTTACAAAAGGCAGAGTAAATGTGAAGAAAAGGGCGCGTTGAAAAGAGGTGAAGAAGTAAGGAGCGCGTCTGATCCTCTCTGCTTTCTCTTTCTGCAGTTACTATTCCAGATGTGTGAGAAGCAGCCCGGTCAGTCTGAGAACACCGCCCTGCAGGCCCTGCTGCTGCACGTCACTCTCTGAAAGGCTGCAACTTTCCAATCCCTCTTTACTCCCGCGCAATATGGGCTGTGCTGCAGCTTGGAGGATTGTACAGGGTGTCCTCTTCTATTACTTTTTTTAATCGAAAAGTGAAAGTCTCTAAAGGCGTTGGCCGGCTCTGTAATTTATAAAGCTGCGTGCTTTTTTTTTTTTTTTTTTGCATTGTGACACACCTCATACTAAAGCTGCATACTTACCATTTTATTGCGCCTTAAAAAGCCCAGATCCTGTCCACGTTGTTTTTGCAGTTTTCAGATTGTGTTCATCTTTGCTGTTTGAATTAAAAAGTGTGACATTTTAATTACAGAACTTAACAACATAAACTTTATGCATCCATGGTGAGCAGGTTTTTTGTTTTTTAAATTTTTATTTTTTTTTAATAGCAAATTTGTTGAATCATGGTTGAATTCTGAATGGCCAGAAATATGTCTCTGATATTTGCTAAAAATAAAATGTATGCAAAGCATTGGTTAACGCTCCAAAAGATATTATGGTACACATGAATGTGTCTGGAGAATGGATAACAATCCAGTGCTGGGGGTATTTTACAAAAACCAGCAATATTCTTAAAATGTCAGAATAAAAGTAGTTATAGGAATATAAATCAAACGGTTTTATACTGAACAAAAAAACATTGCCTTGCCCTTAATTCTAACCTTTGAGAGAACCTGTTAGGATTAAACCTTGAACTTTGGACAACCACAGAGGAACATTTTGCACATAAACCCATACTAAAACATGGTGATGGCAGCATCATACTTGTTTCACAAGGAAGTATGGAAATTGTGCAAAGTTTCAGAAACCAGTCAGTGTTGACATAAACTTCCTATTGTTTATGCATCCATAGTGAGCAGGTATTTTGTTTTGTAAAAAAAAAAAAAAAAGCACACATTAACGTGTCAGGAGAATGGATAACAATCCAGTGCTGGGGGTATTTTACAAAAAACAGCAATATTCTTAAAATGTCAGAAAAAGTAGGAATATAAATGAGAGGGTTTTATACTGAACAAAAAAAAAAACATTTCCTTGCCCTTAATTCTACAAAACCCTTAAGAGAACCTGTTAGGATTGAAAGTTGAACTTTTGGACAATCTCAGAGGAACATTTTGCACATAAACCCATACTAAAACATGGTCATGGCAGCATCATAATCTGGGGTTTAATTTCTTCCAATAAACTGTTGGTTTCACAAGGAAGTATGGAAATTTTGGTCTTTGTAAATAAAATAATAAAATCAAAAGTTACATTTATACAGCTAAAACCCCCCACTCCTTAGGCCTTGATATTAATAAACCGAGAAGGTTTGACACCCTGTTGTAAGGGATGAGGTTTACCCTTACAACAAACCAGCAGACGTGGCATTAGGCATCAGTTTACAAAACAAAGAATTGCTGAGACTGGATGATGCCAGAATTTACTATTTGGTTTTTCATCTGTGTTTTAATAAAATGTAGGAAAAAAAAGAATATAAACACTTCTATTTTATAACATAATGGAGTTTTATGCTTGTGTGTTCTGGAGCATACTGTATAGAAATAGCAGCAGCAATAGGCTTTAAACCTGCCACACTACTTTAGGATGGGGAAAAGTGAAAATATGATTGCTGATAAAACTTTTCATCTGGATAAATGCTACCTCTCAGTTTAATATCAAAGTTATTCAGAGAAGGGTGAAGATTACCATCATAGTAAACAAAGTTTACCAAGGTAGTGCAAAGAAGAAGTTTCTAATGCGCTATTTTTTTGTCTGGATAAAAACTCACTTGCAGGCAGAGAAGAGTTAAGTTTATATTACACTGTTACAGAACAAACAAAACCCTTTTTTTTCCATCTATATGAATAATTTTGTGTCATTTGTAACATGAATGTGCCTTTTTTGTTATATATTCTTATCATTTTCTGAATCATTATTATATTACTTTGTTTCTCAGACCTTTTATGGCCTTTTAAAAATGATCAAATTGGTTCTGACGGTCCACCACTGGTATTCTTTCATATTTTCCACCATAAGCTTGCTTTGCTAGAGGTTAAGAGATAACTTAACTGCCATCTTGAGTAAAATTGTAATCAAAATGTTTTTAAGTTTTTAAACAAAATAAAAGCCTCCAAAATGTCTTTTCATAATGAAGCCATACCTGTAATTCAGCTGAGTCCGTATCCTCAAAGGTCTTCATGTTCAACATAGGATCACAGAAGGCTGATGCGGTTTTGTCTGAGTAACTATACCGTCGGTTCCGTGTTCTGCTCAGGTGTCGTTTGTTTGCACGTGTGTGACTGTTGCCGCCTGCCAACGATCCCTCTAGAGTATTTGTGATATGAATAGAATGCCTGTGTGAGAGTGAAGTGTAGGTTATTTGAGTCTGAGAGTCCTGTGTTTATTCCTGTGTCTGCGAAGAGATGGGAGTGCTTGTCCGGTGTCAAACAGAGTTACCGTGGCGCAATGTTTGGATTATGCTACATCAATGGAACGGCTTGAATCTCCACACAAACAAGATTTAAGGATGACTGACAAACACTGCAGGCCGCAGCTCGCCAGGACCCTCATTTCATACATGGTGGCCAGGCTGTGAACTGAAGAAGGATGACAACAACAGCGACAAAAGAACAAGTGCACATTTTGGACTGAGGTGTTTTACAAACCATCCCAGTCCAAACCCGACTGCAGACATGAAACCAAGCCTGGGCCTCTTGCCCACTAACCCTTGAAGTTTTTGGCTCAGTCGTTTGGATTCCTGTGGTCTGTGTTAGTAAACACGAAAAGGAACGAGCCGTTAGCTGCTGCCCAGGCTCCCTGTAGGCTGCCAGGTGAAGCAGCTCTGTGTGTCCTGGCAGCACTAGAGTGAGGCGAGGGAGAGCCCATCAACAACATGAGTGGTGCAGTTTCTAAATATCTAACTCAAGCAGTGGATGGAGGGGCAGAGGAGCAGTGCCAATAGCAGCAAGTTGAAAAGATGAACCTGACAGATCTACAGGATGCAGGTGGGAGCAGACTTTGTGCATGTCATTCCAAGCAAATTTCCATTCCTGTTGTTATATGTCATTAAGAAATTATGACTTTGTAAAGAATTTATGGAGTAGAACCCAATAGAAGAAACCCCTGAAATGAAATAAATTAGAGTTGAGTCTTTCCTTTAGAACAAGGGTCCTAATGTGCATTTGTAATCCATCCTTTTTACTATGACACTCACAAATAAAATGTGGAAACTTTTGTCTTCAAAGTCACCCGTGGAATATTTCCAAAAGTTAAGTAAAAAATGTATCTCTAGATGCAAAAAGCTACTACAAACGTAGCCCAAAGTGTTAGTTATTTTAAGTATTTTTTAACAATTAGCTTTTATTTTCTAGTTATTGTCCTACAAGATGTAAATGTAATTGCTTTCCACATCTTTTAGAAAGTTTCTAGGTTTAACACAATTTGCACACAAGCTAACTTCTGCTTACAAAGTTAACAACTATAGAAGAACAGCAAAGACTAAACCTTGTGTCTCAAAATTCAATTAGAGAATATCTGCAGAGAATATAAATTAGAGATCGCTCATTGCAGAGAGCACCAGTGCTCCACCCTTTCTTTATTACTTATAGATTTAATCATCAGTGTGACTGAGATAAACATGTCAATATGCAGTAATTCTTTTTCAATGTAGTAAGTCTTTTATTTAATAACTATCTCAAAATTACACATTTTGAGTTTGTAAAGAAAGTTTTATACTACAAGCAGACATTTTCCAATGAATGTTTACTCTCTATGGCCATTAAAAACTTTTATTAAGACTGATGGCTCTGTGCCCTCAGTGCTGCTATAATGACCTAAGATCTTTGTTTTGGAGTGGTTGCACAACTCAGGCCATCTGACACCAATTCTTTCCCCCAACCCCATTCAATAAAAACACTTTGCTTTTCTTTCAAAATATTGGGTTACAAAACAAAACGACAGACACAAAGTGATCGAAGCAAAGCTTTGTAGCTGTAATTTAAAACCAGGAATCCGATTGTTTACAAAGGTTTTACACAGGTGGGTTGTATTTTGCTTTAAGAAATCTAGTATTTTGAAAAGTTTGCTCATCAAATTTGTTTTTTTCTCAGAAATGTCTGTAGTTCATTTGTGTTTCAAAGAAGATGCATTTTGTTTAAGCATTATCTTTAGCTTAACTGCTGACAGATGGCAGAACTCACAGAAGTATCCTAATAGTTCTACTGTTATTTACTCATAGTAAAGTTTGTTAAGGCTCTGCTTTAATATGTTTTGTAGTTAATATTTGCTGTTCCAGAAATTTGCTGAATTAATTAGCAGTTTTTCTATGCCTTTAACATTTACCTACCTAAAACTGATCATCCATGTCAAAGTACAAAAAAACACTTGTGTAGATTAATGCCAAGTCTATACTTTCACTTTGGCCTTAATGCAAATACTTTGAGGTTTATACTTCCAGGTTGAAGTCAGGTCGAGGCAAAGTGAATTAGCATTGAACGAGTCAGCCTCAGTTTGGGCACTGCCTGCAAGAGCAGCCAGATGACTCTTTTTTGGATGAGCTCTTCTCCAGAAGCAACTATAGGAGTGTGGGGGTGTGTGGGGTGAGAAAATCAGGGATTAGGTTTTGGTTTTGAATGAAGCCATGGCTTGGCTACATGCAGTGAATTTTTGGACAGCCTGAAAAGGAAGTCTAGATCTAAAACCAGATATTTCCCTTCACTGTATAATGTAATAAGTATTCTTGTTCTATCTAAAATTGAATCAAACTATAGCTATTTCCCTCATTTTAGGTCAGTAAGCATAGCTTTTTTTTCTCCATTCCAATAAATACAAAAAAATGTAGGAGAATACGGTAACACTTTACATTAAGTTACACACAATTTGAGTTACTGCTGGAGAATGTCTAGGGAACTGATCAGGAACTAATGAGCAGTTAAGCAGTACTTACTGGAGAACACCCAGCCCGGCATTAGTATGGGACCGCTGCTTAGTAATCTGTGAAACACAAAAATATGAACCAAAACATAACTAACCAGGAACCAGTACTTATTAGGAAACTACTGGTTAGTTAAACAGAGAAGAAATTCTCAAAAGTTGGTTTTAAATAAATCCTACACCTGTGAGGTCACAGTTTATGAAAAACCTGCTATGTTGCTAGTTCACTGGTTTTGTTGTTAACATGTTGACGAAAGACAATAATTTTCCTTTTTTTGCACTATCATCTTAAATATGTCTATCTCATACTAATTACAAAATTGCCTAGCTATTATTTTATGGATGTTGTGGAGCCAAGAATCATACCAGATATTTACCAATTAGCTAATCATTACCTAACCAGTACCTCATATCAAGTACTTTTTGAGCAATTCATTCCTTACCTATTAACTGTCTGACTATTATCTAATGTTTTCTTTTGTCAACTCTTAAAGTTAAACTACTCATTAGTTCCTGATTAATTACTATTTGATTCCTTGGTAAATAAACATTATTTTCTGTCTATTTTTTTTTGTTTGTCTCCAAGGTAACTAAGCAGTAGTCCCATAAGGCTGGACTGGGTTTTTCTCTCTAAGTACTAGTTAACTACCCATAAGTTCCTGATTAGTTCCCTAGGTATTCTCCAGTTATTAAATTTTGTGTTCCTTGATGTGAAGTGGTGCTGAGAATGCTTTTTTTTCTTATACACTTCAAGCTTTTGAAATCTACTAATTTCACTGATATTTGGTGAATTTGCTTTTTAAATTTTATGTCATGATCTTGGTGCTGATGCCTGGCTTGATTGCTTATTGCATTCACCTGCCTAGCTCCACCCAGTTTCTCATAATTATTCATTTGTGTCACTTGCTCCAGTCTCTATTTAACCTCTCTGCTTCCAGTCATTAGTGCCAGATTATTCGAGCCTGCCCGTTCTTGTTCTGATCTGTTTGCTTGATCTGTCTTCGGACTCCTGCTGGATTCTGCCTGTTGATGACCCTGGGTCTATTTCCTTACTCCGACACAGATTTTCCTTCGGTACCTTTACGGATCTCTGGTCTTCTGGCTCAGACTCCTGTGAACCTCTTCGATATCAGCTTTGGCTTTGCCCTCTGGGTTATCCTGTCCTCCTTCCTCTGCTTGGATCTGATCTCCTGTCAGTTCTGCTGTTTTCAAGACTTCAATATCTGGGACTATCTGGGCAGCATTTGTCGCATTGTGTTTCCAGCCGTCTGACCCAAATCCACCTCTTCCTCTGATCACGGACTGAACTATAAGACCAGGTTAGTGACTCATACGTTCGTAATCATCCTCCGCCAGATTAACAAAGTCACTAACCTGTGTTTCCCTCCGACAGAGGTTCCTGCCTTAGACGCCCTAGCTGCCATTGCCAATCCATCGTTTTTAAATAAATGCTTTTTGAGTAATCTTACTGTCTGTCATGACTTGAACACTGAGTCTTTTGTTCGGAGCCTTAACATTGTATGCCTCCTTTTAAATATGTTGGGTATCCTTTAGGGGCTAAAAACAAAGACTCTCTGGATTTGTTTCATAATGTCAACTATGCTGTTAACTGCAACAGATTTCTGTGCAAAAACACAGTAGCCATGTTTATATCCAAAGTTCATGAACATTATGAACAAAACTTTATAATACCTAATAACGATAAGAAACAATAAGAGAATTAGACGTGTTTCCACTGGAGCAAATTAACCAGGTGGTGCAAAGTGTAATGTCACAATGTTTATGCTTGACTGTAATTAACAGGGAATAGAGGTACCATAGTGGCATGAACCAAAGATCAGTTATCCAGAGAGATTTTAATGAATGAGTTGCAATCAGGCAAGTTGTTCTTACGTTATCATGTCAGCTAAAATAGTGATGCCAGATGTCATTTGGAGACGTTGAGAGAAAATAAATGGCAGCAGAAATAGAGATCAGTCATGCGAGGTAAATATTCACAACATTGGAACCTTTTCAAAAAGTGTGTTTCCATGTCCTTTTATGCACACTTATTTAATTGTTTTAAAGGCCTCGTTATATCAGACACCAGAACATCTCCCAAAAGTAATTTTCCTTGTTGAATTTGCAAACAGTAATTTCCTTTATGTTATTCTATATACCGGTATTCTATATTACCTCTGGAGTAATGGATTTTCCTCTCTGATTGTTTCACTCCGAATAATTGAACTAACTTTCAACTGTAAATACAGCAAGTATCTTCACAAGGAAATCTGCCTTGTTCATCTCTAGGTGATAAAACTCCTTTCCGATTAATATTATGGTTGAACATTACCAAACTCATAATACGTTCATATAACTGATTGGATTGACTTTGGACCTTTGGATAACTTAAATTGTAACCAGAAGTGAAATAAACTTGTGCTGACTCACGGTTCTCTTCCTGATATCTAGGCTTTTGTTTTGATTATTTATTTTGTCTGTCACTAAAGGAAGCAGTTGGTGTAAGTTTCTAGATAACTCCGCTGTGTTGTAAGTTAAAAATGCCACAGCATTATCATCAAGCTTTTTTTTTGGTCTAATTCAACGAAAGGTGTTAAAAATAAGTTATTTCCATTTTTCAACAGTGTGTCTAAATATCTGTTTTTTATTCTAGATCGCATGAAGGAATTATCCTTGAACTAAAGAATCAGAACCTGCGTATTAGTATGGCCAGATTTTTCATTAGAAACTATTATTCAAATGAAGGTTAGAAACGTATGCGAAGTAAGTTCTCTTTTTTACAGCGTACAACTGTATTTAGAATGTGAAACTTCTGCATTTTTGAACTGTAGCCTGGTTTGCGTCACACATGCATGACTCAGTCCGTTTACAGTACAAACAACAGGCGGTCACATTCCCCTGCCAAATGCTTTAGTTCCTAAGTGAAAGAGTTGATTTCGATGTGAATCTTCTCAGACACCAGCTCAGAGCTGAGCTGGTGTTTGTGTTTTGCCACTTAGCGACTATCAGATAACATTGCACAGAGCACACAGGAGGAGCTACGAAGGAATCCCCTACAACCCAGAGCTATGCTGAAGGATTGCAAACATTATACTGTGGGAGTGAAATACATACTGACACAAGAGATAAACTTGCATGAGGATATTATGTATCTGGATTTCTATGTTCCAAGAGGGACCAACCCGTGTCGGAAATGTGGTTTTCTACAAGTGAGATGCTGCATTTTTTAAACTTTGCAGAAAAAAGCCGAAGGTTTTGTGGACTCAGTGGTACAAAGCTCTTACTTAAAAACACTAAAGAGTAGAATGAACCATGACTGAAAGGAGGAGCTCTATTGGGTAGGATCTAATCAGATAAAGCAGACCAAGGTAAGCTTTCTCGCTCTTCTGAGATAATCCTGACCCTTCCCTATAAAAAAATGAAAATAAATCAGAACCAAACGTTGTGAGAAAGAAAAAATGTCTAGATTGTGCTTCTCCCCTGATCCCAAACATATGCTAATCATTAGTCCCTAGCTTCCTGTTGAAACTGATGTCACACCCCAACTGGCAGGAATACAGTACACGGACAGTTGCTTGGAATCTGAGAGACACTTCTCCAGATAAAAACCGTGAGATTGTTTAGTTTGAAATCACATTTGTTTCCTTATAGTTCTCACATAAAGGGAAAATTAAACAAGCTGAATCAGTGATGCTCTATTAAAGCTGCTTGTAACTTGAGCCAATTTCTTTAGTAGGTGTAACTTTTGAGTTAGTTCATTGGTCAAAAGCAGCAAAAAAAAAACCTCCTCCCAAAAACGAAAATAATAACTCTTTGTATGTCTTATCAAAACTTTTTCCAAGTAACGTATCTGCCATCCTGATGGTTTTCCTTTGAATATCTCTTTTAGAAATATGACAGAAAGGTGTCTTCCAGCAAATACTTACTAACCTCAAATTATTGTGTGCTTTTGAAAGCTTCTTCGCTTAAATGATAAGGAAGTTTAAACACAGGAGCTCATTTACTTTCAGGTTCAGGGTGTGTTTAGCAGCTTTAGTGTTTTAGGGAATGGCTGATAACGCTGAATAACGCGGAAGATTTCCACAGTCGCATTTTGCTGACCTAATTCATGCGTGTAAAAGCTGGACTGATTGTAAAACTTCACTTGAATAGCAAAGAGATAGAATCAGGAACGCAATCCTGCCTCAGTATGCTGCCAAGCAAACTTTCGTTTTAATGCTGCTCAGATCAGACTTACCGCTAAAGTCATCTGGGAGTTTTATGTGTGCTGGGATCCATAATGCCTCCAGGATATTGGTTGCCATTCAGATTTTTTTTCAGGAAGAATAAGTCAGCTCCTATGCTGGGAAATTTCCCCGATACACATACATATCTAATGACTAGTCTGGTGAGTTTACTTTTGCCTGGGTAAAGAAAACTGTGGCCTTCTAGTTTTGGCCTGAAGCAAAAATGCATGTTTTTGTCTCTCTGCATCGCTTTGGACTCCAGCCTAGATCATCCAGCGACATGAGATCTGAGCCAAACCTTCTGACAGTTCCTTTCTGTGGAGGCGGTAAGGAGGAACTGAAGATGGGCCGATAAACTCTTGACATAGACACAGAAAAGCTGTGGCAGTAATTTGGCTTGAAGGAACTGACTGATTTTGTGCCAAAAAAATATTATTACGTCTCTGACATTCCCCTCCCCTCACTGCAATATAAACCCCTATGTTCCACTTTAAACACATTAAAGAAATTCAATTACTTATGTTTACATTTAATAGCCATGCAGGCTGTGAGGATAAAAAGTTAGCCATAAATCAGGAGTATTCATAAGGACAAATAATATGATTCATATCTGTAAGTAAACAGTCAGAAATCCACAGACAATTAATACTGATGACATTAGAAACCCCCTGATCAACTACTCTGCAACACTCAGGTTCATTTAAGTGGTTCGGACTCAATAGCTTCAAAATGTCTTTTGAATATTGCTAAAAAATCTCTGCAAACACAACTTTGATTCCCTTTAAAAAAAAAACTGTTAGTATTATAAACATTTTTACTTATCAGATTTTCTTTTTATCAACGAGCATATTTTAACACCATGCAAAATGTTTGATAGAAAAGAGCTTTATTTACAGGCAGAGGGTCTTGATAAGATTATGTTACAGGTTTTTGATCAGATTTTTTATCTCCCCAAGTACATTTGTCTTATGCTGAAAAGGAAAGATAGAACAGCTGCAAACACTGCTTTTAACACTGGCACAGAAAATAGTAATATGGTTTTCATATGAGGGTGATGGAGGCTGATATTGCAGCATCCTGATCAGCTTTATATCCAGAACCTTAGGATGTTGTTATGATGTCCATAACAACAGCAAACATCATTCCATTAATTATAGCATTATAATAGCTTCTGGACCAGCAAAGCAGCCCAGATATCAAACACATTTCAAAAAAGTTTAACTCTGCTTAAAAAGTAGTAAAGGAAAATGTTTATTTTAGAGTGCAAATATTTTTTACATAGTTGTATATTGGCAACACATAGTTAGGTTTGTAAGGACAGTGTTCCCCAGAAGCTGCAAATAAATAGATAATTCTGCCTAGTTTGTAAATGATGGACCATGTGTTGTCAATAGAAGGCAGTGCGTTAAAAACAAAAATCAACAAAAGGAATTTCCCAGTGGGTTTAAAACAAAGCAAAAAAAAAGCAATGGGAAATCTTGGGAATGTATCCCACCACGGTCCATGTGGTTTGATTGTGGGGAAATCTCTGTAAAATATGGAGCATAAACATCTCAGCAGTCTCTTATCATTAAATGCTCCATGAAGCACAGACGTCGCAGATTAACATTTTCAACATAGCTATAGGGAAACCAAAATAAATTCCCTCCCATAGCTGCTTATAGTTTTTATGTATGGAAAGGCATGCACAGAGAGAACAGCTCGATCCTTATCACTCCATGCTCTCTCTTTACTTCTGTCAGGAACCCACCCACTCCCTTCTTGATCCAAAGTGATGAGTCAAAGGGATATAGTGTAATGCTTTACGCATTCCAGATGATACTTTACACACACCCATATAAGAGTTTTAAAACATGTGTTCTGCTTAGTCTCCCTAAGTGATGGATTTGACCATTTCATTTATCAAAAAAAGGAAGGGTGTTGTCAGGAACAGCAAACAAAGCAAGAGTCTTGAGTTTTTCTGGAGTTTCATTTTTACGGAACTCAGATTTATCATCTGATCAAAACTTTGAAAAAAATCCACTCTGTCTTTTTTTCTAAAGTTTAAGAATGCAAAGCTTGCCATATGGAACAGGCAAGAGAGGAAAATATACCATGCAGCTTAGTCTGGACTCTCCAGTTTCTTATGCTTTTGGGGGGGATGGGGAGCCTTAATTGAAAACATGGGGTGTTTTTATATATTTTTTTCCATTATAAAGTTACCCTTTCAAAACAATGACCTGCTCTTTCACAGAGACTTGAGCTCAGCTTCAGTTTTGTAAAAGCTGCTAAAAAAAAACAAAAAAAAAACATGTATGTCTTTTTAACAACTAAAGAGTCTAGTAAATAGATCTGGGACCAACACACGTTCTACCTCTCAACATAACTGCTGGGAGCTGCAGGTTTCTGAAAAAAATTGGCAAGCAACATCATCGATCCTCTCACTTTCTCTGTTCCATACACACAAAACTACAATGCCGCTGACCGGCTTAAATGCCACTTAGGGTATGCTGGGGTTTTCCAAAGAGAGTATTTAATTCTCTGAGGTCACGGTTGGGTTTGTAGATCTCCAGGCAGTAAAAACAGCACACGTGGTTTTGGAAGAGGAAGAAAAAAGGAGGAGCCCGTGTTTTTTTCTTTTTTTTTTTTGTAAAGTCCTGAGAATCGGCCGAGTAACTGTGGTGAGATGTTGCACAATGGATGAGTGGAAAGTTCATGGAAGAATGGAAACTCTGTGATGACGGCAGTGCTGTCTCACCTCTCCATCCAAAACTGTAAATATTAGCTTCTTTCAGTTTCATTGCTGAAATATTAGCTTTAACTTTCCTATTAAAAGGCAAGAAATGATTCCTTACAAAGCAAAAATAAAAAGTAAACCCCAAGGGAATCCCTAATATGTTTGCCTATTTTTCCATGAATTTGTAGTAAATACACTTGCTGTCCTTTTAAAGAGAAAACTGATAGGACAGCCTGCAGACCACAGGCAGCTGGAACACACACAGCCGCTGGTCACACTGCAGGCATCCCAAGCATGCAAGCCAAGCACTCAAACTGGTCTCCAAATATCACTAAGACTCTGCTGGTGACTCACTCTCAATCTGTCTGTTGGTGCATATGCATATGCATAAGAAAATGTCAGTGTTTGATGGAGTGGAGAGCTCCAACACTTTGGAACTGCCATATGTTACAAAAGAAGAGATCAGTCAATGGTCA